GCAGGTGACGCTTTCTCCCCAGCCCTGAGTCATGGTGTGGGAGGGGTGGCTCCAACCTTCAGATGCACTGTGACTACTGGGAACCCCAGAGGCCTCCACAGAAAAGCACCGCAGTGGGATGGTGCAGTGGACACAGCAGACTGCAGTGGCTGCTGAGGTGTCCCACATCAGACATCCCTGAAAAGGCAGTTTGGTCAGTACCATCGTGGAAAGGGGCCAACCGAGCTAGGGACTCAGCGCTTGTGCAGGCTGGCTCCATCTAGTGGCTCATCCTGTCAGGAAGAGGTGGAACTGAGTTCAAGTTGGCAGATCACACAGCTGAGTTCAAGGCAGCAGGAGGAGCAGTCTGGTGGGGTGAACAAATCAGTTTCTAGCCTCACAGCCAGAAGTGGGCATGCATGTCAGTGGAACTACAGGTACAGGCCTGCTGGGATCATCCACTATCCCACTATAAATCTATGACTTTTCAACATAAAACCTCAAGTCAATGGGAGGTTGGAGTGAAGTATTTCAAGCACAAAAAAAAAAAAAAAAAAAAAAAAAAACCTTCAACTCAAATTGATGTATCTTTCAAAACTGATGGAGAAATATGATACTTCCATAACAAAGAACACAAGAATAAATCCATGACCACAAAACCAAAAGGTTCTGCAGGACAGTTTAGAAAGAAATGATGAGGACTACAACTCCATGAGCCCCAAAAGAATGAATCCACCAGGCAAGGCAAGTAATTAATGGGGTAGAGGGAATAACAATACAAAAATAACACAACAAAGATATACATCATCAGCTATAATCATCAATGTAAATGGTCTCAGTTCACTAGTCAAAAGAAGTTGACAGGATGGATCAAGAAAATCTGACAATATGCTGCTCACAAGGAACACATTTAATTCAAAAAGAAATTCAGAGACTGAAAAATCATATGATGGAAAACAATACTCTAGGTGACAAAAACCTGCGGAAAAAAATAGGAGTAGCTATTCTGTTTGCAGACAAAGTGAACTTCAAGCAAAGACTAATTAATTAAGAGTGATAAAGAAGGTCACTAAATCCTTGCAAAGGAAACAATCCAAGAGAAAGAGATAATAGTCATAAGTATGTATATACATATATGGAGCAAATCCCAGTGTACCCAACTATATAGAACAATAATGCACATGAAAAAAATCAAATAAACGCTAATATAATTGCAATGACCTCAGTATCTCACTATCACCAACAAGACATCAGCTAGACAAAATATCAACACAGAAATATCACAACTGAATCAAACTCCTGATCAAATGGACTTAGCAGATGTCTACCATGCTCTATCCTACAACATCAGAGTACATATTCTCTCTACACATGGGACATTCTCCAAAACAGATGACACAGCAGCTCACAGAACACATGCAAGTGCAAAGGAACTGAAAATCTTTCTTTCTTTCTTTCTTTTCTTTTTTTTTCTTTTTTTTTTTTTCTTTTTTTGCAGAACCAGAGATTGAACCCAGGACCCTGTGCTTGCCAGGGAAGCACTTAACTCTACTGAGCCATCTCTCCAGCCCAAAAGGAACTGAAATTATTCCATGCATATTATCAGGCCACAGTGCAAGGAAACTGGAAATCAATGGCAAATGAAACTATGAAAACTTCATTCACACGTGGAAATTAAGTAACTCTATTAAATAACAAATAGATCACACATGAAATTAAAAAGAAATGTGCAGTTTCTACAAATAAAAAATAATTCCAATAACACATACTAGAACTTTTTTAAGACCCAATGAAACAGTCCTACAAGAAAAATTTATAATGGTCAATAATCATATCAGGAAATCAGAGTGAGTTCAAATAAACAACCTAATGTTGAACCTCCAGTTTCTAGAAGGAGCAAGTTAAGTCTATGCTTATTTGAAGGAGGAAATTACAAAGATCAGAGGAGAAATTAAAGCAATGGAAATTAGAAAAAAAATCAATCAAAAAGCTGGTTGTTCAAAAGATTAAATGAAATTGACAAACTCTTAGACCACCTTATTTAAAAAAAAGGAAAGAAAAAGCTCAAATTCATGTAAGAACTATAAAACTCTTGACCTTTAAAAAGGAGACCAAAATATATTAGCTTGATATAAAAGATTTTTAGGTGGTACATATGTAGTTTTCCAAATGCTGAACGTTGTGGCTTCTACCTTCTGTAGTCTTCTTAAATCAGCCTTTTCCTCCAGAAAGCTGTGTTTACCTTCAAGTTCAGGTCCTCACTCTCACCATTCTAAAATACCCTACAACTTCCTGCCATTTCCTGTACCTGAAGTCCACATGTCACTCAGCCAACTCATACTGCACTAGGTTAATCCCATGGAAGTACAGATCCTGTCTCATTCACCTACTTAGAAAAAAAGGAAGCAGCATCTTCAGCACCTTCCCTACACCTAGCCAAAGTCTTGCCAGCATTCTCTAGACACAGCCCTAAGCTACTTCTCCAGCCTCCCAGCACACCAACCTGCATTTCCCATTTCCCTACAGTCTTTATTTCACCATGAGTTTTGATCAAGCATTGGCAGTGCTTCCTCGGGCTCTCCCTACGTCTTCTAAGGTTCATCTTGTTTTTCCAGAAACTCATTAACATTTTTCCAGATGTCCTAAAGAAGTTGCACTGTGTCCCTCTCTGGAACCTTAAGGCACTTGTCCTAGCAGATGGGCTCACAGCGTGGGACACGGCAATCATATCACTGGCAGACTATTTCTATATAACATCACATGCACAAGTTATGTGCGTATTTGCCATTGCAGTGTTTTGCAAACTTTCAAATAGGAAAGAAGACCTCATTTATATGGTACAGTTTGCTTCAGCAAACTGATTTTAATACAGTTATACTGTTTATGAATAAGATTTCTGATGAAAGACTTTACATACAAGAAAAGCAAATGCCTCACATCAGCTTCTCGGCTACACTTACTCTGTACAGGCCAGCCAGGTCTGGGCAGAATTCTAGAATAGTAAATGGAAGAGGAGTAGGCAGGGGCATTCTGAAGGCTGGGGAAGGGGCCTGGTGCAAAGAAGGGACGCACTGGGAGCAGAGGCCTGGGGCCTACATGGGGGTCCTGGCTCAACCCACTTCACTTGCCTTATCTCAGGTATCTCACTTGCAAAACCAGGATACAGGGCTCAATGAACTTCCAAGATTAAAGTCTAATACTAGAATTCTACAAAGCATAACATGCATCTTCACTAGATTATCTCTAACTAGTGGATAAAAATCCAGTAACTCCTTGAGCTATTACTGTCACTCAGCTATATTAAGAAAAAGAGGGCCGGGGAGATGGCTCAGAGGAATAAGCACTTCCCTGGCAAGTGCAAGGGCCTGAGTTCAATCCCTGGTTCTGCCAAAAAAAAAGAAAAAGAAAAAGATAACCTTACATATCTTTGATATGAAGGTATCAGTGCAGCCAGGATGGCAGCAAACTCCTATAATTCCAGCCCTCAGGAGGCTGAGGCAGGCAGATCACCACAAATTCAAGGCCAGCCGGGGCTCCAAAGTGAATCCAAGGCTAACCTGAACTGCATAGTGAAGCAGTGTCTCAAAAAACAAAAGTATCAATGCATTTCAAAGTATACTTAAAAATATTTTCAAAATGAAAAAACTAACCACATAAAAGAATCTCTGGGGACTAAAAAATATAACCAAAACCAACAAATGGTTTGGTTCTTTCCCAAAACTCATATTGCTACAAATAAGCAATAAATAACTAAAGCAGGTTCTGTTTGAAACTTAGAATGAAAAATATACTTATTAAAAAAAACAGTAAGGTAAGTAGTAGGGAGGAAGATTAAATCACTTTGTTCTGGCTGTTTCTGGATCTCCTGTCAAACAAAATAAGCTTTAAGCGACAGGGACACGACAAACACAAACTGAGAATTCCTTAGCAGGCACATTAGGAGCATATGCAGATAGCTGAAGAGTACTGTGAGTGCTTACTTTCGTAAATTTATTACAGTAAGAGACACCTCACCATTAATTCCCCTCAAACACACTTCAAACACACTTGTCCCATTGTTATTGTCACTTTCTGAAGCCATTCTTAAAGTCTTCTTTTGTGTCTTCATATTTGTTGTCCTTGCAGTTTGATGTCCTGAATTCATTCAAAACATTTACCTTCACAGACAGTGCGGCTCTGCAGCAGAACCAGAGCCACACAGAGCTAGCTCAGAAAGGCCAGCTGGGAGAGGACAAACTGCAACGCCTTCACAAGCTCGCCTTCCCACTGGGTAGCACTCAGCAGCAGTCACTGGGCTTTTGGTCACAGGTGACTTGTAAGTACAAGAGGACCTTAAAATTGCTTCAGAAGTGGCAAGAACGATGGGACAAGTGTGTCTGGTAGAAGGAGGAGTACTTGGAGGAAAGATTAGTAATGTCTTTTACTGTGACCATTTTTAAAACGTAAATACCTACCATCTATTTTGATTACCCCTTGTATAAGTCATTTCTTTCTTTCTTTCTTTTTTTTTTTTTTTGGATAAGCCATTTCGTCAGCCTAATGTAAACTCTTCAGTCACGACTTTACTCTATGGGGGCTTTTCTCTAGGACGGCCTCCACCTTGCTCAGTCACCTGTAAGACCTACTGAATGTGTGTGGCGTGTTCTCGAGTGACTTTAGGAGGATTGTTCCTCTGGCCCTAAGAATACTTTCTGAGTGCAAACTGTCACTTTAGATCTTTTCAGTATGGACTTCTGGGTTGACCATGGTGCTGGTGACACATAATGGGGCAGTAACTAAAGGTCACCATCACTCAGTTTGAACAAAAGCATCCGGTGAAGCACTTACAAAGAGTTCTGAAAAGTGTTTTCCCAAAATGTTGCAGGGGAAAGGAATATTTTCTGGAAAATACGAACAATTAACTGAAATAAAGTTGTCTCCCTTTTTTCCCATACTCCCTCAATCAAAAGCAAAATTAACTTCCTGAAACACAGGGCTTGCTTGCCCCTTCCCTGGGCATCCTGACTCACTGATGAGCTTACCATCTGCCGCCCTGATCACGTAGCCGCCCTGGTCTTCGCCAGGAGGCACATCAAGCAGCTGCATAATTCTGTCCAGCAGTCCGTGGATTATCTCAAACCCAGGATTCTTGTTGTAATGAACGGCACAGAGATGTCTGCAGTTTCTCGCACCTACATCTAGAAAAATAAAACAACTGGTCACGACTTAAGAAGCTGACACAACACAAACTTGGACAAAGTCAACAAAAAGCAAGCGAATTATTCAACACAAAGAAAAGCATTTAACCTCAGCAATGCAAGGTAGGATAAAATAGTCTTTTTCAATCATCAAATTCCCTATAGTGTTTAATTAACAGGGAGGAGTAGAGAGCTCCAGTGCTGGCTCAGAGACAGTAAGGCTGCACTGTGGCAACAGACAGAGATAAAACTCTTTGTAAAACAATTCAGCAATATTTAACAGGGAACTAAAACTTCTTGCTCTTCATTCATGAAACTATCCAAAGAAATAATCCTAAATACAATAAAGGACTTCTGTATGAGATGCTTACAAGATTATTCCTCAGACTAAAAATTAAAAACAAGTTAAATGGGGAGTAACCACTGCAAGTACAGCATGGTGCCTCATCCAAATATTAAGACCACTGATAGAAAAGCGGGTTCATGAAAGGTCACCACAACCAAGCAAGAAGAAATACTTCCATGGTAAATTTCACATAAAAAAGGAGGTTACAACATGCAAAAGCAGTCAAAACTAAATTATACTGTTTAAAGAACATATGCAGGTGGGAAACTAGGAAGCACAGCAAGGAAATGACTATGACCGAAGTTAGGCTCTGATGGCTAGAGGGAAGGGAGACGTGCGGCGGCCAGGATGTACCATGAAAGAAACTTAAGACCCAGGCAATGCCGTGTCATGGTGAGCAATGGGTGCCTGCTTTACAGTCTCTTTGAAGCTATGTATTTTACATATGTTCTTCACAATTGAAGAGAAAAAAAAAATATAGAAGTATCTGAAGCTATACGACAAAGTGGATGAGCCAGTCACAGCGGGACAAACACTGTATGATTCCAGCACCTAAGTCTTCAACTCACAGGAACAGGAAGTAAGAGTGGTGTTGCCAGGGCTTGTGGGGGAGGAGGGGCAAACTAGAGTTTCAGCCAAGCAAAATAAAAGAGTACCAGAGATCTGTGATAAAATGATGTGCACGTAATTAATAAGTCTGTACTATAAATTTTAAAAATTGCCAAGAGGGTGATTTATGCTTTTTTACCACAATAATAACTTTAGAAAGTATATGAAGAAAAGAACCACAACTATGCAGATGCAGCCCAAAGACTCCAAGCACGGGGGAGAAGAAAGAGACTGAAAAGAAATGCATCTAAACGTTAACAGAGGTTCTGTCTGGACAAGGATATGTATGTCTTTAGCCTTCCCTCATTCCCTAATTTTTTCCCTTATTATATATTCCTCTGCTCTGAAAATTAAAACAAACAAATCAGTATTTTAAAAAATAATTTATTTTGATACAGGGTCTCACTATATATGTAGAACCAGGTATGTAGTAACTATCAATCTATGATCTTTTTTAACCATACAAGTTAGGTATTATTTTTCCTATAAAACAGATGAAGAAGTACAAGTTTAACTTGCCCCAATCCAGTAGCTGGTGAGACCTAAATACTTAGTCACATAGCTAACAAGTCACAAAACCAGTCAGGACTGCATGACTGAAGCCCACCGCAAAGGATTTAAATGGAAACAATGCAAGACAAGGGTAACCCTAAACGGGTCTAGATGCCTACTCAAAGATGTGCACTCTTGATTTTTTTTTTCCAGACAGGCCTGGCTGTGTAGTTCAGGTTGGCCTTGAATTCACTATGTAGCCCAGCCTTCCCTCAAACTCACAGGGATCCTCCTGCCTCAGTCTTGCAAAGGCTGGGATTACCAGCACACTTGGCCTTTGAAATGATAAACAAATGTTTTAATTTGTAAAAGTTTTCATGAGTTTTCTTTTTACACCATCTTGGAGCCTGGAGAGGCCTGCCGGGTACTGGACTTCAGAAAAGGCAAATATGTCTAGAAGACTGGTACAAGGCCATTTTTGCTGGCTATAAGCAGGGTCTCCAGAACCAGAGGGAACACACAGCTCTTCTTAAAATTGAAGGTGTTTATGCCCGGATGAACCTGAATTCTACTTGGGCAAGATGCAGTGACTCCAGGTAGCAAACTAGGCAACACCAGAGTGATCTGGGGAAAAGGAAAAGTAACTCGGGCCCATGGAAACAGCGGCATGGTTCGTGCCAAGTTCCGAAGCAACCTTCCTGCTAAGGTCATCGGACGTCGAATCCGTGTGATGCTGCACCCCTTAAGAATTCAAACTAACGGAAAATAAAAGTGCATTTGTGCTCTTGTATTTAAAAAAAAAAAAAAAAAGTTTTCATGACATTTCTGAGTTCCACTTAGGCAACTGGAATACATTATTTTCAAAAACCAGTGACATTCCTAGCTACCAACAGTACTGCAACTTATGGGAAGTCTACTGAGTCAAACTCTGACTGAGTGCATCTGGAGAAATAACTGGTTTTTGCCACATACCATTTTCTAGTGCATACTATGTTCAAGGTATTCAACTCTAAATATCCAGATGGTAAAGGCCAAAGTTAGTATAGTGCTCGGGCGGACTAAGCCCCTCTTAATTATTTTCAGAACAAACGACTAAAGTCTGGAAAATGTGGTAAGAGCACGCAACTATTAATGGCAAGGCCAGAGGACCACATTCTAAGACAACACTAAGAGCCAGGAGGCTGAAAAAGTGAGCGCCCTACTACTGTCACTCTCTGTCGTTGTCCGGTGTGAGAATAAAGAAATGTGATGTCTAAACGCTATCGTCAACGGTGTAAGACCAAAGACCAACAAGCGAAACAGGCCAGCTCGGACGCTGCTGAGCGAGCCACATGCATAAACTAGAACGATAAGCCTAAGTCTGTAGGAGCAGACATTCACATACCCTCTCTCTCCCGCCTCCAAAAGAGAAAAAAACGAAATCCAACAGAACTAAATTACCCCTTTCATACTACTGGCTTGCTTCTGGGTATTTCTGCCATGTGGTAGCCATTTGCCGGTGTCACATGGTTCCACTTTAACGCGCAGGCCTGTATTGAAACTACTTTGTAGTTTCCTTCTGACTGTGAGAGTCGCCCAACAGCAATGCCACTGCTCAGAAAGTTCAGCAACATCAATTGGAAGCTTTATTTTGGTAACCTTTGCCTGTGAGTACTTCTTTCTTGATCGCCATATTATGTCAAACCTACCTTTCTGATAAGAGTAGCAACATCTGAAACAAAAATTTAGTATTTTAGAGCCAGATGGGCTGGCTCTTGGAAGGTTGAGGCAAGAGGATCACTATGAGTCTAAGGCCAGCCTAGCTACCAAGTGAGGGCAAGGCCAGACTACACCACATAGCAAGCCCCCATCTCAAAAAACAAAAGGGAAACAAAAGAACTTAAGATTTTAGAAAATCATGTTAAGTGATTTTAGGGACCTGAATGAAATTACAATAAAGAGGACTTCAAAATACTTAAATTCCTTTTAATTTAAGAACGGTTTCACCGGGCATGGAGGCGCACACCTGTAACCCCAGCACTCAGGAGGCTGAAGCATGACAATCACTGTGAGTTTGAGGTCAGCCTGAACTGCATAGTGAAATCCTGTCTCAAAAAGATTAAAAAAAAAAAAAAAAGTTTTAAAATGTTTACATCACATACATAATAATGAATTATATATTTTGAAGGAAGACTTTAATGGCTACGTATTACACCCACCAAACTAGATTAAGCGTCCTTACTTAGGTGCCCCTCTCTACTCCGTCACAGACTGGCCGGTTTTCACGTTTCCCAAGGGCTACCACTCCCTCCAGACTTGTTTCCGCACATCTTGCCAAAATATGCCCTCTATTACAGCTAAATTGAATTAAAGAGAAAACAACCACATACTGATTCCCACCCACTCCCCCTTAGAGAAACTGCTAGGTATAGTAAAATTCCTATTTCCTAATATTTTGTACCAAGAGACCATATTACATCACAGGAAGTTTACTGACTACATACCACAAAATAAGAACTATTTAAATTTCATGCCAGAGCTAGGGTTTGTTGGGAATGCCTAAGTTCTTCATAACTCAGTTAACAGACCTCTTGTGTCATGCCATCAAACAATTCTGCTTTTTACATGGGCCTGCCAAGTATGTCAGCCTAAATTATCCATGTATTTCACAGACTTCAAAGTGCTGCCTGGAAAGAGCTGATCTAAACCACCCAGAGAGGGTGGTGAGCTACAGTTCTGCACCTAAAAGAGCACACCAAAAGATTTTTAAGAGAAGTGTGGGGGGGGGAATGTTCCTAGCATATGACTACTGCAAACAACTCAAAATTTTTACAATGGGCTCCTGCTTCATTTAGATCTCTTTTATCCATCTATGAAGTTATGAGGAAACTTGCGGTGCTCAGTTACACCGTGAACATGGTACAGATGAGGAAAGGGCTCGGTCTCCAAGGGCCCCTTTCCTCCTCTACTGCCACGTTCACTTAGCAGCCTCCCAGGACACCAGGAAGGCTTCCAGCCTCATCAGGTGATGAGAGAGTTTGAAATTAACGGCTGGGCAAGCTCAGAAAATAAAAATAAATTTACCTTCACTTGTAAGTCTATTTCATCCAATGAATTTCTTCAATATTTGCATCCACAAGACTGTAACTTTTCCTGCAAAATGCACTCATTGCCTAAAGAATTTCAAAGCAGCCTAAATGATCCACAAAAGCTACAAGAATCCCGTGAAACTGTAACATTTTTAAAAGCCCTAAGTAATGTATAGAAACAGGAACTTCTATAAACATTTGTTTAAAACAATCCTTTTTGGTGGAAAATTCTAAGTTATTAAGCATTTAAATATGTGTACTTACAGGTCAACTAATTCTACCTCTAAAAATATGCATTTGCACAGGAGCATAAGCGTACCTATTTTAACAGACATATGTAAGCAAAAAATGTGGCAACACTCTGTATTTGTTATAACACTAATAAGTACACGCTTCACATGAGGAAGTACCATACTGCCTTTAGGAAAAATGAGCTGCTCAGAAGGAAAGCGAGGCGCAGACCAGGACAGGTAAAGTGAGACCTA